ATGTGCACGAGCCCTTAAAGTGCCACAGAATTTCAGCAAATATTTAAAAATATGATAAAGGTCAGTTTATTTTTATACAAAAAAACTACATATACAATCTTTAGAAGCATCATAACATGTAGTGGTTACATCTGCATATCACATACACATCCTCATATGTTTACCCTACATTACTCACTGTTCGGCAAGATGTACAAATCTCAATAGTCCTAAGGCACTTCATCAATTTATTTTAATAACAGCTCTATCACATGGTGGGACGGGGTCACTCTTGAAGCGTTTCCTGGAGTTTCAGGAGATATGGGGGGCATATAAGGAGAAAGTATGCAGCCACTCATGTGTTATACCTACAGATAATTCATATCTAAAAGGAGATCACAGAGGACAAACAAAAGGGGATCCCGGATGACCAAGGGAAAGTGTATGGTTATAATAATCCTGTAGAATTAATATATAAGCTGGTAGCTCCACTTATCAGGATGGTAAAACTGGATGGAAATTGTCCACTACAAGGTGCCAATAATGAATCTAGTGGTAGCCAACACATACAGGACTGAATTAGGCCATAACATCCATAGGCATCAGGATCCCCCACTGAGAAGGAGGAGCACCCCCCTTCCCTGCCCCAAAAAGATGGCCAAATTATCTTCTTTTATTCTCAGGTTCAAAAAGTGTTATGCCATGGAGGTATTGAGGGGTATCATATCCTGTTTCTAATTGTACTCAAAATTCATTGTAGAATGAATGTTATATAAGATTGATTAGACCACATACTCAATGCTACTGGCAGTCTGGATTAACATTTAAGGAGGAGCTTTACCCTCTTTCACTAAAAATCACATCAGTAATATGAAGCTCTGCATGTCAATATGAAACCATCTTGCATTCAGTGAATTCATTTTTTTGCATTTACAGGTAGCCCTCAGTTTACGCTCGGGGATCCAGAGGGAATGGTTGTAAATAGAAACCTGTGTAAATTGAAACCCAGTATATAATGTAAGTCAATAGGAAGCGAGGGAGCTATGTTCCAGATCTTTCTCAAAACTGACATAAGTAATAGAAACCAGGTACATTATATTTAATGCTGGTGCATGAGCTACCACAAGGAGCTTTAAATAGAATACAGGTGAAACTCGAATAATTAGAATATCGTGCAAAAGTAATTGCAGTAAGTGCTGCAAAAGGGGCCCAGACCAAGTACTGAGTACATATGCATGCTTGTACCTTTCAGAGGTCCAATATTGTTCTATGTACAATCCTTGTTTTATTGATTGCATGTAATAATCTACTTTTTTGAGGTTGTGGATTTGGGGTTCTTGGGGTTTTCATGAGCTATAAGCCATAATCATCACAATTATGACAAATCACGGCTTGAACTATCTTGCTTTGCATGTAATGAGTCTATCTCATATATTAGTTTCACCTTTTAAGTTGCATTAGTGAAATAAATGAACTTTGCACGATATTCTAATTATTCGAGTTTCACCTGTATACCTGTATCATGTTACTTATGTCAATGAGAGAGGCTTGGAACCTAACTTCCTCACTTTCCACTGACTTACATTATTTACTGGCTTTCAGTTTACACCAGTTTCTATTTAGAACCATTCCTTATTTTGAGAGAGGCTCAGAACCTAACTCGTTCACTTCCCATTGTCATACATTATATATTTGGTTTCAATTTACAATAAGTTCAGAAAAGGGAGCTATTTTGAATCAGTGCAAATTGAACCGTTGTAAACCGAGGGTTACCTGTACTTACAATTACTGTATTTCTACTTCCCGGTCGAGTGAGGCACTGGTGATGTAGCCCTGGCCTCACAGCTACATCCTGGGAAGGCCAAGTCACCGGTGCCTTCCTGAGAAATTTAATCTGTAAACTGCAAAATCTTTTTTCCCTTGGAATGATATGCACTGTCACATGTTCGAGGATGCAGATCTACAGTACAGTTCCAGGAAGTAAAGGAAGATGGATTCCTCTGCCCTTAGTAAAAATGGCCACTGTGAGAAGAATGGGGAAAATAAAAATAAGGTATGCAAAGAATACAAAACCGGCAATTATATAGATCTGTTTGTAGATTGTCATTACTGAACATTTCTAAAGGTGCTGTTTTGTCATTTTTAAGATCAGGGTGAAGTTTCTCTCTAAAATCGGACTTGGACTGAAACAAGTTCATTTCTAATAACCATCAGTCTGCGTTGGAATCATGGTGGTGTTTTTTGACAGTCATACATCCTAGGGTTAAATTTGCCAGCGTAATAACATTCTTTCTAAGTTGATTTTACAACATCAATATTACCTCACCTGATTACTAACACATCTTGTAATACCTGTACAAATTGTGTCCATTGGATTCTCCATGTGGAATAACTATAAAGTGTCGGCTGACTATAAGGCCATAGCAAAATGACATACTCTATGCCGGGTTTACCTTGCTGAGGTGGAGATTTTTATGATCTTTGGATTATAAATGACATGTGTGGTATATGAATTTTGTAACTCTTTCAGCAAAAGCTTTTTGCAACCTTTGGATTACAAATCATATTTTTTGCAATTGAGCACCCAATGTACCGTAGATTGTGCCTACCTTAGATTTTTATGTCTGTGGGTGACCAACCTGGCTTGGGTACAATGAATAACTGCAAGCATTTTTAATGGATTAATGTACCATTTTTGTGCCTGATGTGGCATATGAATTAAGCTATAAGTGGGAGCAAGAACATTTTTGGATGCTTGGTGGACACAGTAAGCTGTATAAAGGTAATATGTATATTTATTGTTATATACATGGTGCAAGGCCCTGCAAAACGTTTTAAATGTTTTCAATGATGCGCTTTGGTGAAATTGAGAAAAATGTGTACTTTTCCCGTACACAGCATTCATTATGGTATTTCATTTCAGTGAGCCACTACTCATGTGTGAAGTGGTAATTTAGGAGGCCAAGAGTGGTTTAATAATAATTTTGGGAACTCACCCCACATGAATAGAACTACAAAGTCAGAAATAGAGGTATGTTTTGGTTGTCAGCAGAGAACTTTGGTGTATTAAAATACTTATAAGCTGTAAGCAGCCATGGCAGACATGATAGAAGCATACACAGGCCACGGCAATAGCTTTGCTGTAGCTGAGTAAAATGTCGTGTGTAACCAGAGATCTGACTTTGAGGTGTCAGCCCTTCCTTGGAGTCTTCTCAGGTCATTCATTTCTGCTTCAGTGGTTCTTTAAAGCATAGCTCTAATGTTGTTTATTAACAAAAATGTAAATCACTGTTGATATTGGATTTATAAAAATCCATTTACTTCTTCCTTGTAAAGTAGCTTCAGGTTTGGTAAGATAAAATCAACAACAAAAAATTAAGCAATTGCCTGCCAATCAAGCCACTTTTTTTGTATTGTAGTGGTCCCTTACTGCATGCCACAGGTTAGATGCTGCCCTTAGATTGCCTTTAACGAGTTCTTGGGGAAATAATCCTCTCAATAACACCAGTGATGGGGCATTATTTCTCCCACGGACACCAATGATGGGGCATTATTCCACCCACTGACACCAACAATGGGGCACTACGTCCTACGGACAGCAGTGATAGGACATTATTCTTCTCACTGACACCAATGATGGGGCATTATTCTTCTCACTGACACCAACAATGGGGCATTATTTCTGCGACTGGCACCAGCAATGGAGCACTATTCCTCCCACGGGCACCAACAATGAAGCACTATTCCTCTCTCTGACACCAACGATGCAGCACTATTCCTTCCACTGACACCAATGATGGGGCATTATTTCACACACCACACTGACACCAATAGGGCACTTTTCCTCCCACTGACACCAATGATGGCACACTATTTCTACCACTGACACCAATGATGGGGCATTATTCTACCCACCAACACCAAAGATGGGGCACTATTCCTCCCACTGACACCAATGATGGCACACTATTCCCTCCACTGACAGCAACAATGTGGCGCTATTCCTCCCTAACCTACTCCAGCAATGGTCATTTACTAATAAAGTAAAAAAAAAAAAAGTATAATATCCCAGGAACATGCACTTTAAAAGCAATACATTGATAACACCCTCTTTTATAAATAAATGTGTAGTGCATGACATTTCCTTGGCAGAGTGTTCACAGATCACACTTGGCTTTCTAATAAGAAAGCCCAGCAGTAGCGGCTCACTTTTGGTATGCCTGTAACTAAATACTCCATACTAAACCATAAGTGTTAGAGGCAGGGAGGGGATGTATTACTCCTCTGAGCCATTTAGCTGTGTGTCTACATAGAATTGAAAGGGAACATATTACACCCTCTTTACAGCATAGACGTAAACAACTGCATAAAAGTTGTGGCCAGCAGATTCCCTGAAGGGACAGCATACAGCCCTTTGGTCCTGATTGTGCAGTCCCTGGGCCCCAGCAGTAAGTAGTGGGAGTAAAACCATTGATGTGTAAAGGGAATGTAATGGCAGTGATCTCAGTACTTTTATGTAAAATGTCCTCAGTCTCCAGCCACACCTGTAGCATGTCCCTAGTCTCTGTCCATCTCCCATAATATGTCTGGTCAGGTTCTGACAATCTTCTGTGGCATTACATATATGGAATTTGAGAACATACCCCCCTGGGGATGTTAGGGGAGACAGTTAAGGACCCTATATCTGGAAAGCTGACCATCACTGTTCTGGGGCTTGATGGCCCCGAAGCACGATGGAACTTGTATTCCTATTTTTAAACTGATGATGACTCAATCCATCCTGCTGACTCTTCTACTTCACTTTAATTTTGAACAATCTCGGCGTTTCATAATCATACATTATACCCGAAACAGACCAAATAAAGCTTCCTGAACTCTTGCTTGACTATTACATTAAAGATGCCCAGATTTGGTAAAAAGTTTTATCAATACAGCACTTTTTGGAAAAGTTGTTTCAATATTTTATTCCTTTATTAAGTATAAGAAAAAATACACATACATATTTTTACAAAAGAAAATGGCTACACAGCTGCAGTAGAAACACGTGTGGGTGGTGGGATCACTTCCTCTTCCTTGTCCTGAACTTTTCCTCCAGATCCGTGGGGGGCTCCATTCCTTGGCAAGGCTTCTCCGGTCTCTTCTCTTCTTCGTGTTTCAGTATAGTTGGCCTAATGACGTCAATATCACGACTTAGATGATCCAGCATGCTGGGAATGATAGTAGGCGGAGCATAGAAGTCAACCAAGAAGTACCTAGAAAAAAAAGAAAATGCTGATTCTAAGGATATTTATTATAAATAAATAGTCTTCACTGTTTATTGAAGGAACATACAAGGCAGATCGTAACCTTGCCAAGGCAGAAAAAACAATAGTGGTGTGTTATGAATATCTATGTCACTAGGAGGAAGTCTGAGTCTGGGGCCTAGTGAGTGAAGCAGAGGATGGAGATGCCAGAACACAACTTCACCAGGTGTGAGGAGTCTGAAAAATTACCCTCTATGGCAGCATCGGGATCTATTCTGGAATGGACTAGTAGCTATTGCATATAGTACTGCACAGCCAGGAACTCAAGACCCAGATTTCCGCAGTCGGCATAAAGGTCCTCTATCTGTAAAGGCTGCAAGTCCTTTTTTTTTTTTATTTGGAGTATGTTACATCCTTGGTGTCCTCTGCCCAGACCCTCTCTCCCTAAGTTCGTCAATAAATGTCCATCAGCATCATATCTTCTGTGTGGACTTCAGTTCTATCAGTCACCACTGGAGGGTTGGTAAGTGCATATGGGGCAGTAACTTCATTGTAAACCCAGTAGTACGGAAGCATTCACGGGTCTTGTAGCGGGGATAAGTCAAAGTATCAGCATTTTATGGTCAACATTCGATGGAGCTTAGCCCATGTTTATCAAAAAATGATTTGTCATTTAAGCAAAGGCTCCATTCATGAAGCTGCAACAATCATTATTTGCAATGGGAGCTAAAAATAAACCTCTCATGCCTCATTAAAACAATTGCTATGCCACAAGCTATGCCTTTAACACATGTTAAAGCTTTGTGAATCGAGCTTCTATGACTAATAACGTGAGGGTAGCCATCAGGCATTCAATCTCAACTCTTACTTTCAAGATCAACTGGATCTTCCACAGCTTTGCGTTTCACTTTCATTATATAATTAAATATTGAAGATCTGCAGGTAGATTTTAAACATGCAGTGCATGCAATATGGGCCGAGAATACTCAAAAAATATACTCTAATAGTTTAAAAAAAGGGGAGGGGCAAAAAATTCCTAAAGCAAGAATTAAGTAATTGTAAAGTCGCACATATCCTCTCCTGTTATAACATCAGCATTGTAATAGGAATACATACTAGAGTTGTTTTTGATAATGCAATCAAAGCTAACTTTTAATCCCTTTTATGTAGTGAGTGCTGCCTTCCGTCTGCCCATCACTTCCAACAACTTCCTGGATTCCCAGTGTGCTTTGCATCTCTTTCCCTGCTGCTTGATTTGATGCAATCACCATTTCTTAAGACTACATATCCCATCATACATTGCTTCCAGCAAGCAATGATAGCATTACATTATTCAAACTCGTGTTTTAGCTCAGAAGGCAGACGCAAGGAAGTATATATTGACAGGGCTGAGTGAAATGGTGTTGGTGCATCGAGGAAGAACATCCTATGTGCATCTTCAATTAGTAAGTTTGCAAACATCTAGATGGATGTGGTTATAGTGGGATAGAACTTATGGAATTCATTATAGAAATACACAACTGATATTTCACCTGACATGATTTTATGTCATATTGGGGAGCTTTCTGCACTGACTTTCTAGAGCTGTACACCTATTGTGCTTATTTTGAGGGTATTTAATATTAGGGAGAATTAAACTGAAGATGCTGGAATCCACCAAGGTTGGTCAGGAATACTCAGAACTTTCAGGTGGGCAGGAACAGAGGAATTATGACAGAGAGATCTCACTGTTGGAGTATACCAGACACAGAAAAAGCCAACGGGTGACTTGGCCCACTAACCTCTACCTATAGCCAAGATATCACTTTTGACTGCACTGACCCTTTAAAGACAGCTGGTTGGAGGGTGTATTATCAAGGTCTATGTAAATCCTAAAAATGAACTTCTCTTATTTGCTCTGTTAAATATACAATTGAAAGCACTTTATTATATATCTTTGAGTACAAAACCACATCAGTTGATCTGATAGAAATCCAATTGAGCTTGTAACTTCCAGTACACTCTGACCATGCTGCACTGACATCTCAAGTTGTGATATCAGCCCTGCCCAGTTCATCTCTGAACTACAGAGCACTCCCCCCCCTAACTTATGGAGATCAGTAGAGGGGGAGGTGTTCTTTAATCCTAAACAGGAGCAAGCAGCCTAAGGGGATAGGACTACTCCTTCATATACAGTACAGTGATCAAGTGTTGTCAGCCTAGTACAGTACAAGATGTGCACCCTCAATACCCAAACTAACATTCCTCCAGACGGAACACTGGGTCAGGCAACTAAATAGCTTAGCGGTGATGGAGTGACAGGTCCACTTTACATTCAGCCTGAGAATAAAAGAGGCATTTGTGGAAAAGAGTTAAGCTCGAATTAATATTGCAAATCCCTGACGATATTTGAACAAATCTGCTTATCCAAATCTATATTCTGTCCTCTTACCCAAGCTGACAGCTAAAGCCATTTAGGAGAGGAGTCGCACAGCATACTATGGGCAGGGAACACAGCTCCTGCCCGCAGCCGCGATGCCTCATTCCTCTGAGAAGCCGTGTCAGAGCTGCGGCAGCTGGTAACACAAAGACACTGGAAATTTCCACTACGCGGAGAGAGCTGGGCGAGGGTGGGCGGGAAATAAGCTGGCCCCTGTGCTGCCTCTCTCACCCAGCTTGTCTGTGTGACTTTCCCAAGGCAATCTGCTGGGCAGTAGGAGGATGATGGGATGCATACTCTCAGCATCCTTTCAGCAGCACAGCAAATAAAGGTGTGGGTCCTCACAGCCAAAGACAAAAAGGGAGGAAAGATTAGAAAATCAATTGACACAACTGATTAGCCGTCAGATTGCAACCATCCCATATTTAAGTGGACCTAAAGTAAAAAAAAAAAAAAAAATCCTTTTCTTTTATTACAAATAAGAGTTAAAAGGAGAACTATGGGGTGAGTGAATTACTCCCCAGGGATCTTGGATGTGATGTCGGCAAACCCAGAGCCGTCAACTCATATGACACTTTATCCCTTTTTCCCTTTGCTCTGGCCTCAGCAGCTACATAAAAGGTTATGTAAAAAGGTGCGGGGAAGGCCGAATGATCTGGGTCAGCACAGAGAGTAGCCAGACCCGCCCACGTGAGCAAATGGCTATGACGTGCAAGGAGGGAGGGGCTGTGCTAGGAATTTGACTCTTCTTGGAGTAGTCAAAAGCACAATGAAAGTGAATTTAAAAAAAAAAAAGAAAAAAGTACATTCTTGAAGTGGTTATGCCAAGATCATGGCTGCTGCCGCATTTTTAATTTTTTTTTTATTGGTATTGTTTTTTTTCAACAGGCACTGCTTGTATAGGTGATCCTGGCGGCTGTACAGCTACCCAGAATACTTGTGGCAGCCTGTGAATGTGCTGCCTGTGCGGCTATAAGGAATATGAGTGAGGAGAAAAGAGAGGAAAGGTTTCTAATGGGTTCTAAATGGTGGTTTCTGAAGCACAGGAAAACTGGATTCCTGAGCCACCACGCCATGGACAAACCTGGCTAGGGACTTTACTGACTTGTCCCTCCACAACAGAATGTTGCATTGTAGAGGTCTGTACTGCAATTGGGCAACTGAGACTGCTTCACAGGAGTCTACCATCAGGACCAAAAGCCCTGGAATCTGAGATCGAAGAGGTTAAAGTTTTTTGTGGAAGAAACACTCCGTCCTTCTCTGTGTCCAGAACTAGACCCCAAAATGGTTTTGTCAGTTCCAGTCATGATCGCTGAAATCTTAGGATCTATCAAAACCCCTGCAATGTCTGGACATAAATAAGCCACGTTGGCCAACAGAACCTATTTGCTGCTCAATTTTTCTATCAACAGGAGGTCGTCTAATTATCCCACAATTGGCTAATACTAGGGCCAGCACCTTGGTGACTACCCGAGACTAGAGGCTTGAAGTCTCCCTCAGAAGCCAGTGTGAGAGGGTGACAGCACAGAAAAACAACTGGGAGATAGGGACAAAGCACCCTTACACTATAACAGAAAGTGCCCAAACATCATGGCAAGATCCCCAGGGGTTATTTTAATGAAAGATGCAGATTTACAAATATTAAAAATAACTTATGCAATTACATTATCTCACTAATGATTATACTAGTGACTTGGCTTACATATACTTTACGTTTGGGTGGTGAAATTGTGCATAATGGTTAGTACATTATTTATCCACCTCTATACACAAGAGCCAACAGAGTGACAGCTAAAAAGGGGACAACTAAAAGGGGGGGCTGTTTATACAGAATCGGTTAAGAGCTCTGCTTTCATGAACTAAAAATGATAAAAAGAGGGTAGGCTTCGCCAATACTAACCATTTACATGTCTTGATGAGTTTATGTAAAGGGACTATTCAAAACATAGGAAAGAAAATTGGAACAGAAGTGGAGTGCTTTGACTGTATAATCCAATCAGGTGTCACCTTATATCATCTGGGAAAATGAAAAATATCCATTGGCCATTCTGTGGTTACCAGTCCACAGAAAAGATGTCCTTGAGCTAGAGAAGGTCCACAGAAGAGCACTAAACTAGTTAATGGGCTGGAGGATCAAAGCTATGAGAAAAAGTTGCTAAATTTAAACTTATTCACGCTGGAAGTGAGGAGATTAAGAGGAGACATGATTTTGTTGTACAAAATATTTAGTGGTGATGGCAACATCGGCACTAAACCTTTTACTGTAAACTCCGTAACAAGGACTAGAGGCCACCACCTAAATTGGTGGAGAAAAGATTTATCCACAAAGGGCGTAGGGGCTTCTTCTCAGTTAGAGCGATTAAATCTTGGAACTCTCTGCCACAAGCAGTGGTATCTGCAAAGAATATTGATTTGTTCAAAAATCAATTATATACCACCTGAAGAGACTAACATATTGGGGTACGGGTACACTTAAATACTAGACCACACAGGGACTCCTATATATACTCACGCACGCACAACACACACACATTGAACTTGATGGACCTGTGTCTTTTTTCAACCTCAAATACTATGCAACTATGTATAACAACTTGTGTTACTGCAACCTTTTCTTCAGGTTTTTATAAATAGCCCTCTTGGAAGAAAATAAATGGTGGCCACAATAAGTCTTATTGCTATTGGCAAAACATCTGCTTTGGGTTTTACACAATACTTATAAAACAATGGACACAAACACAAATAATGATGTGCATTAACCCATAGAAACCAGACTACATCACTGAGATTCAGATTGCCAGCTATCCTCGTTCTTAGCACTTCTTCAGTGGATATGCCCCTTAATTATGTGATTACATTAGCAGAGTTCAAGAATTGCCAACAGCTAACAATCAGACTTCAGCAGTTCTAGTGTGGGTTGGGAATGTATTTCATCACTGTCTTACTACATAGGTCTGGAATGCCAGTGTGTGTTTTGTCCTGAGATATGACAGTGCCCCCACCCACCCCCCCCTTACTGTATGCAAGGGTTAAAACCAAAGCAGACACCCCTTCCCTCCAGCAATACACTTCTGATTAGCTGGCTTAATGGCATCACCAGTTGCCAAGCAACCACCAGGGACACCCACTGAGGTGGTCTTGCGTCTCAGCACTAACAAAGACTTTAGCAACTAACAAAAAGTTACAGTGAATACCTTATAAAATGGAATAAAATGTGCTTATTAAAACAGTCAGGCCCAGGTATTCATGAAAAGTTAATCATAGAGGATGCAAGAATGCGATTTGGTGCTTGCTAAGCTTATAGAGACATACAATTATGATATTGCATACTTAACAATTGTGCCTTGCTCTGAGTCTTGTATGCATCTTACTCGCTTTTAAACATTAACAATTGTAATTTTTCTTTGAGCAACAACCTAACAAAAGTGTAAGTTAACTCACAAATTGTATAAACTTACCTACACAAGTGTACACCATTTGGCTTTGAGATGTCAAACAAGCTCATATAGATGGGATGGCCAGGTGTCTATAACATGGTTGGCTATAAAATGTAGCATGCTCTTCACTAATAAGTTGGCTACCTAGTGACATATCAGAACTTCCATGTTGCTTAAAGGATATGTAAACCCTGACAAACTTCTACAGCATCAATACTGGATTACTGGTTCAAGAGACTGTCAACTTGCCCATTCACAGCTCTTTGAAGCCCAACTCCCTACCCATTTATATTCATCTTTTCATCAGTCCAAAACTTCTTCATAATCTGTCACAGCCACTTCTTAACAGCTTGTGTAAGCTTTATGTTAGATGGTGTTGGAGCTTACACATGGTGGATAATGTCTTCCCCCTCCACCATGTAACAGTGTTTAAGTGACACAAGGCCTGAGCACTGCAAGTAGGTTACATGCTACTCCATACTCCCAAAGCACTAGGTAGGTAAGGGGCTTTGACGGAAGAAGGAGCAGCGGGGGAGTTTTGCAAAGCCAAGTATACATCTGTCAGGGGTGGGCTTTGAAGACAGATAGAACTTTGTCTATTCATTTAAAGGTACACTCAATTCTAACATGACAATATTGCTTTTAACCTGACTCAGATTACACAGCTTACCTACTGTGTAGCTCTAATTTGCAATTAAAAAAAAAAAAAGTATATTTTTGTACCCGATAGCCCTTCAAGATAATTATTTTTTATTATCTGCACCCTTGTCTGGAGCAAAGCCCTGTAAAAGCAGGCCAGATCTCCATCAGAGCTGATAGAGGCTTCATTGACATACATTGGGGAATG